TGAGAAGAGTGTAGAATTTATTAACCTCCTGGCCCATGGCTTCTCTAGAGAGGGACAAAATCCAATTCCTAAAAAAAAAAGGCTGATTTGAAACATGGTAGTTGGTGATAAAATTTTTTAAGTGTGTATTTACAAAGCTGCCATAAATATATTGCCCTTCCACAAAAGAGTTTCTATTATTTCTCCAAAGACCATAAACTCAAAAGACTGACTTGTGCAGGGTCACTGGGAGGCTAAGTGTGCCACGGTGGCTTCTCGGGGGACCCAGCTCTGGACCTCGGGGACCCTCTCCTCAGATTGCCCCAGACCTCATATCCCCTAAGACACTCATCAGAACCTCTCACCAAAGATAACTGCATGTACGGGAAGGCCTGGTGGACATGGCTGAAAATGCAACACCGTTCCTGCAGCTAGAGGGTGCTGTGAAGTTCCTGAGTCACCAGAGAACTCAGGACAAAATAAAATTGCCAGAGTAGAACATGTTGTAAACACATGCACAAAATGACTCTGGATTGGGGTGTAATACTCCCTAAGGAGGAGAAAAATAGATTGTGACGAAGATTAATCATGCATCTTTTACTCTAATTTCCTGTCCTGGAAGCTGAAAGCCAAGAACTGGGGATGAACTCACACCCCACGACTTCAGAGACGAGCCAAACCCTCCTTGACTCGTTCCACCCTGACCCAGAGAACTCTCCAAGGAACAGGGCCAAGCCCCTCACGCCTGGACTGCCTCTCGTAGAGCCCCGCGCTTTCATTTCCTTTTTGGTCTTTGTTGACTCTGGAAGCACCACAGATTGTTGCTTTATCTCATATTTTTGTACTCCATTATCGCTGCCGTGCATTTTAAATGCAGTCTTTCCGTTTAGATACATTTCACTGAAGATGATTAAATACCATTCATGCAAAGAATGGTTTTTCCAGATATCCTAGTCATTCTGTTCAGGTTTTACATTATGTTCACTCCCAAGGAAACTTTCAAAATAATTTATTCACTCATATTTCTTGGTAAGCTTCCCTTCCCTGCCTGTTCTATGTTAACAGAGAAAGTAGGAGGGTGATGACCAGCATGCTGTTAAAGAGCCTCCTTCTCCCCCTCCAAAAAAAAAAAAAAAGAAAGAAAGAAAGAAACCCAAAGAGCATTGTCCAGAATTCTGTCCGTTTTAAAGGAATGATGAGGTAGGGTAGAATTATCGGGGACTGTCTCACAGCTAATCCTGCCGGTTGCCTCTGCGTAGATGCTGGGAAACTTGAAGTGCTCTCGCATTAACAGTCCTCTTTTCGCTCTGTCTGAGGGACAAGGCAGGCGTACAGTTCTCTGGGAGAATTGTCAGGTATGTGTTTTTGCCTTGTGGGTGGTTTTAGTTTTCTCTCCATTCTCTAAACGTTTCCTTTAAAAAAGTACCTACCTTCCTTTTAAAAAGCTGGGTTCCCCTGACCTTCTTTTTTTCTCTGTGTTCCTAATGGTCCTTGAAATGGAACTGGTTTGTTGAGTTTCCCGATTTGTACTTGGGACTCCTACTCAGTGATTCTTAAGAGAGTGACTGGTGACCCGTGGTTTTCTCTGTGGAGGGAGAGTGCACACTTTGCATTCTGGCATCTAAACACGGGGAGATTTAAAACCAAAGGCATACATGGTTAGATAATCATCTCGAGCATGGAATCAAATGATCTTTTAAAGCAAAAACCCCAGAATCTGATCTCCCATCACTTTGGTCTCATGGATGAGTTTGCCTTTATGAATGCAAACCTGGATCGTTAAAGTGTTACCTCAGGCTGAATGTTTCTTCTTGAAGAGTCTCCATGTTGCGAGTTTATTGCTCACAGAAACTTAACACTCTAAATAATGACATTGTTTTGGCTTCAAATTCTGGGTTTAACTTTTTAAATGTTCTAAAATTGTGAATGTGGTTGTGATTGCTCCTTTGCTACTATGTAAGTTTTATTTCCTTTTGGGTGATTCTGTGAAAATTGTGTATGGTTATATTCACTTTGTCTGGCACTAACAAACCAGAATCTTCCTCATGGTTCTTTGTGTGCCACGATCAGACACATTGTTGTTGAAGTTTCAGGACTAATACTCTTTTCCTGGCATAGGTACCTGACTTACTTTTTCATTTCTCAGTTTGGACCCTCCTGGTTTAGGGTTGCTGTAGTTAATTGTAGTTATTCAGTAACTGTTCTTTGAGTATAATTTTTCTTTGTAGAAATTAGGCCAGATTTCTTACTGTTGACATGGCTTGGACTAATGTCTTAGTATTTTGTGTTTCTAAAATAGCCCAAATAGTCTATTAATTCTACCAAACAACTAGCCATCTGATTTAAAAAAAACAAACAAAACATCTATCAAACTAGTTATCTGAACCACTAGATTGGGATTATGTTTCTGTATACTGCACAATTAAATTGGGATTGTATTACATTGTATACTATGGATTCTAGGCATGTCATGTGTCAATTCTTGTCTCTATGTTATTAGTGGTTTGATGGGTTATCATATTCATAGTGGCCTAAGTTGTGCGTTTGAAATGTGGCTGGGATCTATAGGAAAAAGAGATGCTATTCCAGTAATTATACCTACAAAAGTCAAAGTTACTGTATGTGATAACCATGTAGCATGGAGTTAAAGGGCACCAGGTGGGAAGTACATAAACTGAGCTATGTCTCAGCTTTATCACAAAGTGTCTTCTTTAACCCATTTAGGCTTAAGTTTCCTCATCTGTACAATGAGGGCATTGGACTATAGTTTCTGAGGCCTCTTCTAGCTCTGAAAAGTTAAGACTCTACCTTCAAATGGAGATCAGGTTATCCTTTCTTGACTTGGGAAAATCGTGTAGACCATTAAAGGACCTGTCTTCAGATTTCTATGTGTCTTATCTTTGGTTTCAGGATATCACTGTATTCAATCTTAGGGCAGAAAACACTTTTTCGGGAAATGAACTAATACATCTTGCCATGAAACAGGATAAGTGATTAATGTGGTGTCATGAAATTAACTCATTTTGGCTGCTTTGTTCTTCATTATTTTATTCAATAATTAGCTCCTAAGAGCTCCAGGAGCCTGTGCTCCACCCCCACACTAACAGTCTCCCCAGGTTCTGGTTCTGGGAAAGGGTGCAACCTTCCCACCGTGAAGGAGTTCATTCCTGCGGCGCCACTGGAGAGGCGGTGGCCTGGGGAACCACTTGCCTGTTGAGGGGTTGAGAATCACATCCGGATGATTCTCCCTGGGGGAGCCAACGTCCTGCGCTCAATTTTCCATCCACATCAGTGAAAAGTGAGGAGCGGCCCCCCGGCAAGATGTAACCATGCAGTAATGTAAGAACACTGGCTAAGCGTGCTTCATTTATTACAGAACTCGGTGTTCATTGTTGTTTGTAAAGGAGGACTTCATAACCTCTGCAGAGTTATATTTTATGCACGGTCGATTTCCATTTACAAAGGCAGAAAGTCTTGTTTTCTTGTCAGGCTTTGACTTACAAAACTCCTGTTTTCTTTAGGTTGGTGTGTGTGCATGCACTTGTGTGTGCCTGTGTGTGTAAGTGTTTAAGGGAATGTTTTGCAATTAGATGGGAGAGAAGGGAAATAAAATTCAAAATGTGAAAGAGGGAAAACACACTCAGAAATTCTAGAAAACAAACCAACCAACCCCAACGCACTGTCTTGGAAGGCCTTGACTGAGAGGACTCCCACCATAAACTCCTGTTTTTATGTGCTTCCTCCAGGGGCAGAAGGGACCAGAGAGGCTGGATTTTTCTAACAGAAGGCGTGTGAATCTGAAAATTCTTAAACGAAAATGGGTGTAATTTCATGCTGCAGGGAAGCATTTTGCTTATGTAGTTGAAATAAAAAATAAAGTGCCTACCTGGGTGTTGCTAGGATAATTGTAAGCAAATGAGACTAATTAGAAGTCTTAGCAGTCTGTAATTAAAAGCTGGAAGTAACTTACTCCGTGATAACATATCCCTGGATGTTGGGAAGAGTCGTACAGAAAGGACACTAAAGCTTCCAGGGGGCTTTTTCTCCCCCAAGGCACAAGACCCTGTTCTGGGGAGCACATCACTTTGAAAACGGGATAAATGGATCGAAAGCTTGGTACTCACAGATCTAGCCCCTAAATACACATTTTGGACAATGACTATGGGGAATAGGGAGGGACAGTATTTCAGTACCAGTTGTACTTGGAAAATGTCATTTACTGGTAAAAAGAATGGGAGCGTACATGGGGCAAGCTGAGAAAGTACAGTAACACCCCTTGCCCTTTATCTATGGGGGATAAGTTTGAAGACCCCTAGTGGATGCCTGAAACCAAATCCTACACATATCATGGTTCTTCCTATACATACACACCTTTTCACTTAAAGGAAGCACTTCACAGCTTCTCGTTGGCATATCCAAACGGCCAGCGTCACTGCTCTTGTGCACCGGGGCCATTGTTAAGCAAAATCAGGATAACCTGAACACAGGCGCTGCTACTGTGAGAGTCGATCTGACGACCAGCAGGGCTCCCGAATTACTGGCGGGCAGGCAGCATGTACTATGCGGAGAGGCTGGGCAGAGGGATGATTCCCGTTCTGAGCGGGACGGGGTGGATGGTGCGGGATTTCATCCCAACACTCAGATCAGCATGAAATTTTAAACTTATGAATTGTTTGTTTCTGAAATTTCCGTTTAATGTTTTGAGACCACAGTTGACTGTGGGTAACTGAACTGTAGAAAGGAAAACCACAAATAAAGGGGTCGGTGGGGTACCTGCACTTTCAGTTGAAGCAAGAGGAAAAATTGAGGCACCTGGCTTCCCTTTTGGGGACTTTTAAATGCTTGATTTTTCATGCCCTGTGGCCAGACCCTTCATCTAGATCAGGTTCTTACTGGGCATGGGAGGAAGAGTGAAATCAGGGGAGGAAAAGGGGGCACAATGGGGAAAGGAAGTTCATTTTGCTGAATGAAGACTATTTTAAAAGGTAAGTGTACCATGTTTTTCCTCCAATCAATTTGACTGAAAAGCAAAAATACAACTTTATTAAACACACTTCATTCCTAATTTGCAATGACAATATATAATACAGAAAAAATAAGGCTACTTATCAATGTAAGCATTTCCAGGGTGAATCTTTGGCAAAAATGTAACCTGCAACTGTTCACACAACATTTTTTTCAACTGGGTTCAAAAACCATGGCTCTGAAGTTTCCAAAAGTTCTAACGTTTTCTTGTATCATCTCATAGTCAGGCATTCAGAGGTACAAGTTGGTTCTAATAGCTTTGGTAGGAACAGGCTGAAGATAGAAATGAATATAAAACACGTTAGGCTAATTTAGTATGGATTTGTGAGGCGTGAATAAACTGGGGAGTTAGTAAATTTCTCAAAATAATACATATGAATGTAAGACACATAGGAAGAATAGCAGATGCAGAAAAAGAGGTTGGTATTGTTTTCCCATGTTTTGTAAAAGACATCAAGTCAGGCCACCAGTACAGGAACCTAGTGCCTCTCTTAGATTTCCTACGGCCTCACGTTCATGGGAGGGACAGATGCAAGACAGGCTTTGACTCTGTTTCCAACGTGTCAGCAGTGGCACCGGCTGAAACCCGGCTCAGCCTTCTGGCAGAGTGTGCAAGGTGGATGCTTCTGGCTGGTTAGTGGGCTGTGCTTGGGGGTGCTCGCAGGGCGGAGACGGAGCCTCCGTGTGAAGGGACTTCCTCTCGGGTCGTGTCCTCCTTATTGGCTTGACCTTGGTGGTGGAAGCTGGCTGCCGTTCTAGATGGGGCGGAGGTGGGTCTCAAGCCACCTCAGATAACTGAGCAGCAGCCGTGGCACGCGGGGCAGTGTTTCTTCTTTCTCTTGGGGTGGAAGATGGTGAGGATGGCTTCATCAAACACAGCTTTCAGACCTTTCTGAGTCAGGGCCGAGCATTCCAGGTAGCACTGTGCTCCGATCTGCAACACAAAAGAGAGAGAGAGAGAGAGAGAGAAGAGAGAGAGAAGCACAGTGATGTCAGCCCTCTGCCTGGCCAAGTGCAGTGGCTGCTTGTTCCACAAAGAGCCTGCGGGTTGGTTTGGATAGTGCTTTTTATATTTTGCATTTCATTTTGCCTCTGCTATCCTGATCTTTATATATTTATATATTTATATATTTTTTACTTTATGTCATTAACAATAGATGGTTCTGGATTTCTTTTGGTAAACAAGAAGTTCTGAAAGCGACCCATAGCCATGTATTCCTAATGTAAAAATTTAAAAATATAAAAATTAATAGATGATTCAAAAAGAGCGATGTGGTTTCGACATACTCTGCGATCCGCAGGGCTCCATTCTGTTGGTTTCAGCACCCTCTCACCTGTACACGGAACGTGTAAGTCCGGTCCAAGTGAACTGTGTCTCTTTCTAGACACAGTGAATGAAGCACAGTGTCAACTTGGTTGATAAACATACAGGAAAAAAGTGGCTGATACAGTTTTACAGGTTAATCTTGAATGAAATTTACTTGTGATAGCTAATTCTCAGCAAGGAAATATCCAATTGATGTTATTATTTGGTTTTAAAGTCATATTTTTAAGTGCTTAATAAAACCCAAAGCATGTAAAAATAAAATTAGCAGAATCCATTTATTGGCAGAGACACCCTTCTTGTCAGAAGACAGTCTATATGTATTTAGAGAATAAAATATTTTATGTTTGCTTAGGGCTTTATTTCAAAGCTTCTAATGATTTCATACTATGGTATACTTGATCATCACAAAGTCCCTATGAGAAGTAATAGAGATTCAAGCCAGAACTATAGCTTCTCATTAGAAAAATGCTAGGGCAGAGCAGACCCTGTTTTGCAATCAACTTCACAAAATAATTCACGAGAGGGAGACCCACAGTTGTAAGTGCTCGCAAACTCAGTCTGGGCCAACAGTTTGATGCAGGCCTTTTAATATCAAGGGCATATAGAGAAATGCTCTATTACATGCTTCACATTATGAGAATAACTTTGAAGAATTTAAGCAGGTTTAGAAGAGAATGGCTGGATGGTGAGCTCCTGGAAACCACAGCAGATAAATGATGAAATAAGGGTAGCAAAACCACGTGCCAATAGCTTATGCAAATGAGGAAAGGGCTGGTGCCAGGCAATAGGGAGAGGTGGGGACTGTGGTGTGCTGTGAAGTGCACACCACCTCTAGACTTGGCAGTCTTACTCAGCTTTAGGCAATTGTCACCATGCAGTAATGTTGGTTCACTATTGCCCAGCTTTGTATTTTTCAAGAGGAGTTGGACATTTGCATTTTTTAGTTAATATTTCCCAATTTTTAAAATACTCTGTGGGCCAAGCAAAATCCCGATGTGGTATAGCTGTGGCAGCAGCCCGCACTTGGTAATGTGCAGAGGAAAGAAATTTGTGGTTCAGCTTAGAATAGAGTGGGCACAGTCCCACAAGGTAACATGAATTACTTAAGGACATTCAAATAGAAACTGAATAACTAGACCCAGAACCTGGTCCTTTCTCTGTATGTTCTTTGCCTTGTTCTATAACAGTAACTATGACCCTTATCAATTAGCTTCTCTCCAAGAAGCTGAGCAAGTAGACAATTAGTGAAATAATATTATCCGCCTAGTTGAAAGCCCATAGTTATAAAAAGTAAGCATAATGTTTCAGGAGCTTCCAGTCAAGATGGAGGCGTAGGCAGATATGCTTCACTTCTTCACACAGCCCAAGAAGGATAACAACCAATTTAAAAACAGAAAACAACTAGAACTACCAGAAAGTCAAACCGTAGGTAAGTCTGATAACCAAGGAGTTAAAGAAACATTCATCCAGACCAGTAGGAGGCATGGAGACAGGAAGCCAGGGAGCCGGGCAGTGAGGATGCAACAAGGTGGCGGCTGGCAGCCTGGGGCACACAGGGCAGCAGCTGGTGGAGCAGGTGGTCCCACACTTGCGTGCAGATAAGCCAGGAGGAACAACTGGGGAGCGAGACAGACTGTGCAACCCAGGATTCCAGCATGGGAAAAAGAAGCCTCCAAACTTGTGGCTGTAAAAATCCGTGGGGGTTGTGGCAGTGAGAGAAACTCCCAGCCTCACAGGAGAGTTTGTTGGAGAGACTCAGAGGGTCCGAGAACATACACAAGCCCACCCACCTGGGAATCAGTACCTAAAAGGGTACAATACACTTGTGGAAAGTGAGGGAAGTGACTGAAAGCTGGTGGAGAGCTGAGCACAGGGCACTGTTCCCTCTTGGATCCCTCCCCCACATACAGTGGGACCCCTGCCACAACAGCAGTGACGTGGGTTCCCCACTCTGGTGAATAACTATGGCTTACCTGTTACAACTTAACAGGTGCGCCAAGACAAAGAAATGTGACCCAAATGAAAGAATAGATCAAGACTCCAGAAAAAGAACTAAGCAACAAGGAGATAGCCAAACTATCAGATGCAGAGTTCAAAACACTGGTCATTAGGATGCTCGCAGAAATGATTGAGTGTGGTCACGAAATAGAGGAAGAAGTGAAGGCTATGAAAAGTGAAATAAAGGAAAATATACAGAGAACCAACAGTGAAGGGAAGGAAACTGGGACTCTAATCAAAGATCTGAAGCAGAAGAAAGAAAAAGACATTTAATCAGAATAGAATGAAGAAATAAGAATTTAAAACAATGAGGAGGGGCTTAGGAACATCTGGGACAACTTTAAATGTTCCAACATCTGAATCATAGGGGTGCCAGAAGGAGAAGAGGAAGAGGAAGAAATTGAAAACTTACTTGAATGAATAATGTAGGAAAACTTGCCCAACATGGAGAAGAAAATAGACTCACAAGTCCAGGAAGCTCAGAGGGTACCAAAGGAGTTGGACCCAAGGAAACACACACCAACACCAACTCTGTGGGCCGAGCGAATCATAATTCCATTACCCAAGGTCAAAGATAAGGAGAGAATCTTAAGAGCAACAAGAGAAAAGGAGATAGTACCTACAAAGGAGTTCCCATAAGACTTTCAGGTGATTTCTTAAAAGAATCCTTACAGGCAAGAAAGGGCTGGAAATAAATATTCAAAGTCGTGAAAGGCAAGGACCTACATCCAAGATTACTCTATCCAGCAAAGCTATCATTTAGAATGGAAGGGCAGATAAAATGCTTCCCAGATAAGGTCAAGTTAAAGTAGTTTATTATTATCAAGCCCTTCTTATATGAAATGTTGAAGGGATTTGTCTAATAAAAAGAAGAATATCAAAACAAAGAATAGTAAAATGACAACAAACTCACAACTATCAACAACTGTACCTAAAAACAAAAACAAACTAAGCAAACAACTAGAACAGGACCAGGAACAGAAATGGAGATCACGTGGAGGGTTATCAGCATGGAGGGGGAGGCAGGAGAATGGAGGAAAAAGGTACAGGGAATAAGAAGCATAAATGGTAGGTACAAAATAGACAGGGGGAGGTTAAGAATAGTATTGGAAATAGAGAAACCAAAGAACTTATGTGCATAACCCATGGACATGGACTAGGGGTTGAGAGAGAACGCTGGAGGGAGGAGATGAAGGGAGGAGGAGAAAGAGAGAAGAAAAAATGGGACAACTGCAATAACATAAAATGTACACACACAAAAAACTAAGCATGAAATAAAATTGTTCTGTTTGGGTCTAGGTAGTATGTACTTTTTTTTGAAGAATGATTACTGTGTGAAGGAAACTACCCAAAGAAAAGATATTGGATCTTGAAGATCTATGTTATGGCTTTCATTTTGGTCCTGTGTTGAACTTTGAATTAGATAATTTTTTTTCTTAATAATGAAAAACAGTTGGATGCAAGAGAGGAGTAAAAGGGAAAATTTTCCTAGTAGTGTCATGAAATGCCATTTGTTACACGTCGGGATTGTGTCCAATGCTCGATATGAACACATGTGAAAAGCACATTACTCTGGTGAATGTGTCATCTGAACGTCAGAGAGAGATTCAGAAGCGTCTCTCGGACACTTGCTCTGGGCGTCAGAGAGAAGGTTTCATGCTGGAGTCGGGAAAAGGCACAGCCTTGTTACAGGGATTGCTGAAAAACAAACACATGGTCCCCTCCTGAGTGCCCCCAAACAAGAAAATCCATTGACACCCACAAAGATGTGAAATGGAAAACTGTCTCAAGGAAATATGCTGTTTTTCTTATGGCAGTGAGTTCCTTCACTCCTCGGAGCAAAGTGACCAGCACAGCCAAACACTTGGAACCCATAAGTAAGGGCTTGAGACCTGCAGGTCCTTGTTTAGATACATGTGTCAGCAATCTGGAACAGCCTTCACCAGAATGATTTACTTCCAAAAAAGAAAAGAGAGAACAAAAGAGGGAGAGAGAGAGAGAGAGAGATGGAGGAATGTAAACTGAGAAAACACTTTCCTAATAACTTTATAATAACTAAAATTTTTAAATTAATGTGGGAACTATATGGCATTTGTGAGTCCTGTGCAGAGAGTAAAATGACATTTTTTCTTTTTTCCAGTTTTACTGAGAGAAGGAGCTGACGTCATCACTGCCGGAGCTGGAGGTGCACAGCACGATGCTGGACTTTGACACACTGTGGCAGCAGCGTGCGCCGTTACTGTTCACTTGTTTTCTTGCTTGTTACGGCAATTGTTTATTGTAGCAAATTGGTACAATATGAAAAACAAGTCTTACTTTTCCTTAATCCTGGTATTTCACAAGGTTATTCTAATGTGTACATTGTTGTACCCTTCTTTTTTCATAAAAAAGCTACATGAAATTATTTTCCCTTTCCATAAAAAAGTTATTGTCCCAAAGCTAGGAAATTTATCAGCAGTGTACAGAACACACAAGTATCTGACTAGAAGAAATAAAAAAACAAACAAACTAACAAACAAACCCACACTGACCAAACACGTGGAGAAAACCTAGAGCTTCTTCCAGGCTGCCCTTGCAGAGCTGGGACAGGTTGCAGGATAAGGTAGAGTGTAACTGGGAGGAGTAGAGGCAGAGGGGTTTTTCCAGCTGTAGACACGTCTGAGAGGGAACGCAGATTCAAGGACAACTGTAGTTTCCTGAGCTAGCCCTCATGTTAAATCAGCTGGGTTATTCGTCCACAAGAACCTCGTGAAGTCAGTCTATCACCATCCTCCTTGGCAGCTCAGAAAACAGATGCCCAGAGAGGTTAGGTGCCTTTCTCAGGCCACTGAACTAGCCACATGGCTGAGATTTGGATTTGTCTGTCTGCAGAGCCAGGGTCTTAACCGCTCTGTTGGGCTGCCTCTAGCAAATGTAAAAAAAAAAATGTGGCTGAAAGAGCAAAAGTCATGAACAAGTGGAGAAGGAAAGGGAAAGGAAGACATACCCTCTAACTGGAGAGGAGAGATGAGGTTAGTGGGATAAACAGTCAGCTGGACTCTGAAGAAATGGCTGATGGCAGGGAAGTTCTTTATTTCTTACCTAAGAACTAGAAAAGATACACAGAGAGGGCAACTTGCGAGTCAAGAAAAGGAAAAAGAGTCAAATGGCTTGTGCCAGAAAATCCATCTCCACAAGTCAGGATTACGATAGAATTGCTGAAAGAGGAAAAGCATTTCTAAGCTGGACAGGTGTGCGGCTGCTTTTTCCAAGCCTGTGGAGAAGAGACAGCCCACGCGGGGTGGGGAACGAGGGCGCGCTGCCTGAGTGCAGGTAACAGGAAGTGCTGGGCTTGTGGCAAGCCGAAGGCTACACATCTCGTCTAAAAGGTGGTTTGAAAGTTGTAGTTGATCTGGACATGCTGGCTAGTTTTGCCAGACCTGTTGTTTTAGAAGCCAGAAATGTGTATATTTATGTGAAGTTTCCAAACTGTTCAATGGTGGCCACTAACTCACGTGAAAAACACCTGTGTGGACTGGTCAGAAGATTTAAATGTGGCCCATCGCTCACCAGTGGGCTACTTAGGCCTGAAAGGCCGACTTTGCTTGTGCTGCTCACCCCATTCGAACATTTTCTCCCCAGCCCCTAGCTTTGTCCACCTGCCAAACACCCGTGTCCGTGAACCTGGCTCAGATGTCGACCGCTCCAAGAATTTCCCTCTGAATCCTTCTCCCCTGAATGTACCCGGTACTCCCTCCTCTCTGGTACTTCGCACATGTGCATTGTGCTTACTCAGTTGGCATGATTTTCTTGGTCCGTCTCTCTGCTTTTCTAGCCTGTGGGCCCTTTGAGGGCAGGGCCTGTCTCTCCCTCATCTCTGTAAACACAGGCCTCAGTGGGGAAGCCACAAGTTGCAGGGAGAACAGGAGAAGGAGGAAATGACTGGCGTATAAAACAAGTCAGGACGAGAGTACCCGAGAATACGGTTGGCGAACACGGTTGAACGTTGATTACAGGATTTTTGCAGCAATTTTGCTGCTTTAAACTGCACCGGTAACTGTTATAAACCCAGCAAGACACAGGTGCTACAACGAAGAGTGAGAAGAACAGTAAATAAGGCACAAGGTGAAGAAGATGGCAGGAGAGGGCAAAAGGAGGGCAAAGACCGAAAAGAGAAAAATGGCAAAGTGTTTCTATCAAGAAATGCCTTAGGAAGTCTGAACTTAGAAAACCATGTGTAGGGCCCTGGCTCGTGTAGCTCAGTGGATCGAGTGCGGGCCTGTAAACCAGAGGATCACAGTTCGATTCCCAGTTGGGGCACATGCCTGGGTTGCAGGCCAGTTCCCAGCAGGAGACGCACGAGAGGCAACCATACATTGATATTTCTCTCCCTCGCTCCTTCCCTTCCCATCTAAAGATAAATAAATAAAATCTTTAAAAAAATCTTTTAAAGAAAGAAAATCATGTGTGGGTTGTAACAGATGGAATTGGGAAAAAACACGCACAAAGAATTACAATCTCAGAGCTACATGTAGTGAAGCTCCTGGCACATACTGGGTATTCAATTGATTATTGCTGCACAAATCTAGCAACAGGGACATACAAAAGTGAGCAGCGGATGGGGAAAGTAGGCTGGAGGTTAAAGACGATGATGAAAAAAGAGGGAGGGTCACGTAAGTGCAGGGATAACAATAGGTATTTATTATAAATCGATACAAATTGACACAAAGTATGTAAATGTGGTTGATTTTGGAGTGCAAAGAATTGTAAATATGCATGCTATAAAGATGTCCTTTAAAAATAAAATGCCATTTGAGGGCAAAAAGAGATGATAGATGAAAAATGCTTTGGAAATGGAAAAGTATTGAACAAAAGGAATCAGATATGAAAACTCTGGATTTGCAAAGCATATAATAAGTTATGGGGAGATATGCACATTAAAATATTGGGCTTCAGCATATAAAGAGAAGCCCCAAACCTAAGGGTTTCCTTTCAGATCATGGTAGGAGGGGCAGGAGAACGGTTGTGCTCACTTCCATAGTTCTGCTCTGCCACCGTCTAGAGGCGGGACTACCTACCCACATCTGTTTTCTCTAGGAGAGTGGGGATAATAGTATGCACGCCTCCGGGGGCTGCTGTGAGGACTAATTAAGACAAGACATGTAAAGCACTTGGCACCAAGCCTAGCACTGCAAACACTCCATAAATGCCGACTGTTATTATAAACTCCTTGACAGGAAAGTCAGGGAGCAGAGCAACTTAAAGCATCTCTATAATTACATGAATTGTGATAAAACAAGTTAAACTTTTGCTTGGTTTTCTTCTAAATTGGATTTGGTAAGCTAAACACGATTCTCTCTGTATCTGAGAGCAGTTGCTAGGAGAAGCTGGCAAAAGGCAATAAAGTGGTGAACTCAGCCATTGTTCCTAAAATAACATGACAGGAGATGGGAGGCCTTGGAACAACTTCTTTTCAGAGGGAGAATCAACTTCCCAAATGAGGAGCCAGGCCAGGACGCTGATGGTGGCAGGGGGTGGGCCCAAAGCAAGGGGTGCAGATGCGGCACCAGCAAACAGCGGGTGCTGGGCCCCTGGGACCTCCTCGCTGTGAAAAATGTATAGCTGGGGATCATGTGCAATTATTTATGGAGCTATATGTTTATGCACCTTAATAGGATAGTTTTAACTGGATGTTTGAGGAAAAGACAGAACAAACTATAGACATGTACCCATCTTACAGGAGGAAAAAGAAATGTTGGAGGAGACAGTTTACACAATAGCCAGGTGCACAGGTGTGAGGTCTGCACAGGTGTGATGTCCACACAGCTGGGATAGAACCGTTTACGTGATTATCAGCCTAATGACTCAAATGTGCTTCTCTTTCCAAGACTCTCTGTCCTCATCTGCAAGATGAGACAAACACTGTCTGCTCAGGAGAGGTCTACCACGAGGCCGAAATGGGACAGAGCTTTAAAGTGCACAGTGTACTGAGTGCTCTGTGAAAGGCTCACACTAGTTGTTCTGACACTACTATTCACAGAGGTGGGAAGCAGTCAGTTTCTCAAGTATTTGTACGGAGTTCTCATGTACTATGCCCATAAAAACAATTTTATTGAATTGATTTCTATTCAAGTGTATTGTACTTCGTTTTGGTACCTATAGGAAAGTTTTAATATGAGGAATGCATATGCTTTTGTTAATGAAGCATTTGTGGTTAATTAATTTTTATTCATTGATTGATTTTAGGGAGAGAGAGGAAGAGAGGGAGACAGAGAGAAGCATGGATTTGTTGTTCCACTTACTGATACATTCACTGATTGCTTCTTGTATGTGCCCTGACCAAGGATCGAACGGCAACCTCGGTGTAGCAGGACAGTGCTCTGACCAACAAACTATGTGGCCAGGACCTTAATTTACTCTTTTTTTTTTAAATCAATGTATGGTTGCGTTTGTGCATCCCCTGCTGGGAACTGGCCTGCAGGGAACCTGCCTGCAACCTGGGCATGTGCCCTGACTGGGAATCGAACCATGATTGTCTGGTTCTCAGGCCCGCGCTCAATCCACTGAGCTACACTAGCCAGGGCCTTAATTTACTCTTGATCAGTTTAAAAGGGTGACTCCTAACTCCTTTTGGGGCATGCATTTTGCAGGGTTAGTTACTTTAGAAAGTAAAAGACATTTCCAAAACCTCTGGCTTAGGTTGATAGGTTTATGGCTAAATCAACAAAGGGTGAATTCAGGTTATGAAAAAAGACGTATAATCCTTCTCTTGCATAAAGCACCTCATCCCCTTTATTTGTTTTCTGTGTCTGCTTTTGCATACATTTTTGTGGTAATCGGAAGACACAGATTTGGTGTCTGGCAAATACTTATAAAATATCACCCCCGCCCCCCCAAATCACTATTCATGTGAAGCTCTCAAGAATGAGAAAGGTCTGTCGAAAACAGTTCCAGCTGTGAGCAAGTTTCTATTGTCTGCAGCTTGGATTCTCCAACTACTTACTTTTTGGTCTGTGTTACTCTTCTAGATGCTGTTTGTGACATAAGCCAGCTTCAAGTGGTTACACTTTATTTGGTGAGAAATACCGAACAAATATAAGCCTGCCAGGTGCTTTACCTAAGTTTCTCCCAAGAAAACCACAAAGTGCCTTTTATGGGGTCATTTAAATGAGTTACACCAATAATAAGCAGTGAGATTTACAAATACATATCGAATGACTCTGTTTATTCATAATAAGTACGGCAAGTAGGTATTCTAGAGGTTGCTAAATCACATGCTAAGTGCCTCAGCTGTTTGAGACTCACCAAGTTTCTTTCCTAATGAGAAACAGATAATGCTGGCTGACAAGAACGCGGACCAAATGGTCCCCACTGGCCTGATTACAACAGAGGGGAGAACGTGAGGCAGAGAGAAGATTCCGAACATGAGGCACTTCAAAATCAAAAGCCTGTGTAGCTCCTGTGTTCCAAGGCACAAACCAAACTCTTCTCAGCATACATTTAAAATTGAATTCACATCTGACCGTACCGCTTTTGCAAGCTTCACACCATGCTCGTAAGTGAGAGGTTTTTCTTTCATGTACAGCAAACGGGCCAAGGTTTTGGGGTCATCGCGGAGATCAATCTGACAAAAAACACACGCGTGATAAACTCATTCTTTTCAGGCATGACCAGGTATTTTAAACTGTGACATAACAGAGATCCTCCTCCTCCCCTTAACATCTATGAAGTTGCCAGATTTTCTTTAAGGAAGCCCATATGCGTGCCCCTATTATGTCTACAAGTTAAAGCAGCTTCTTTGTAAATGTATATGCATAAGGCTTTTCTTGTCCTCTCCCCCTCAAAGCAGTTACCCTGGAAGCTGAGGACTTTCTCCAATGATTCTGTGGCTGTCTCAGCTGGTTTGGGAATTTCCTATTTATTTCTAGAGCATTCTTACAGGGCAAACGAGATCAGTCTTACTCCCTTACAGTGATGCTCATTTGATCCCAAACTTTACTACTCATTTTTAGTGGTTACATCCTGGTAAAACAGATGGACTTTGGCTTTTCTAAACCAAACCTTTACCCTCAATGGAATGAGGTTTGCCACCGGCGTGGATATTCTAACAAATGTGCCACTGGCTCGGCAGGCAACTCCCGAAGAGGAGCTTCCAAAGGGTCCGCTCAGGGAGTGAGCATTCAACTTTCCAGAGGCAGAACTGCTCTGAAAATAGCATGTATGTTTGGATTAGGCTTTCTCATTTAATTAAGTATTTTAGTCGCTTTAAAATCTTACTGTGTATGGGAGCCCACGCATCCATGGATGGGTGTGACTGTGGGTCCGTGCAGGCTTGTGCTTTAAAGAAAAACCAACACATTCACGCACTAGGGTCCTGTTTATGAGCACATTGTTCAGCTTTACTAATGTGCAGCTTTTTGGTTTTTGGCTTTAATTGTTCAACTTAGCACTTGAGTTGTATAGAGATAGATGTTCGCACGTCCCATAACGTAATTTGGCGGCAGGGTATCTGGGCTGCGTCAATACGGCCAAATGTTATTATTATTGGGAATCAAGGCAAAGGGCTTCATTTAAACAAATAAGTAACTTACAGATCAGAATCATCAACTATGTTATTATTTATAAATGTGTCAACTCTATGACCATATCTTCTCTAGAAAATATTTTTACTTTCTTTTATGTTTTTTAAAAACTTTATCTTTGTCAAGCAGAATATACAATGAAGAATAGAAAGCAGCAGCCTATGAAACAGACAACAGGGCCCTTCGGTATTTTTTCTTTCTACGTCTCTGGGAGAGTCATTTAGGTTTAAACACAGCAAAGAGCAAAATCTATTTAAAACTATATACATATATACAAAGTTGGAACAATATTTAAAATCTCTGTGCAATTGCTGTTGGAAATTCAAACAGTGGGCCTTCATTAGCTTTCAAAACACTTTTAAAGGCTTTTACAGTTGCGGTTTTGTTTCTCTCGTATATCTGTCTTCACTTTTGTTCTAAGTTCTGGAAGGCCAAGGGGCTTGAAGGGAATGGAGAGGAGTGACTTTTCTGAATTCCCTCCCCAAGAGTGTTACTGGGGAGTTCTTGTCATACTGTGACCATTCTAATTGCTGGGGTTATTTTACATTCGCACCCACTTTGTGGCTTTCAAACAATCATGGATTTCAGATATAAAACATGTTAGGTGACGGGAGTAATTGACATCCCCACTTCAACCCTCTGGCTCAGGGCTGCAGACGGGTGCCTATTTCAAACGTTACTTTGTTATTTAAAATAAAAAGCCAAGAGATTATTTTTTAAAGGTCACACCAGAACCTCCTGCCTCACATTAGATAGCTCTCCTTTCTTTTCAACTATGGCTAAATAATTATGCGGACCTTAAGAACAGGCTGTTCACGGGATTGGTGTCTCTGAGATTCCATAGTGTTTGGTAGAGGAGGGTGTTCAAGGGATCCCTGAAGGCTCTTCCCCTTTGCCGCTCTCCCCCATGCCCCCCACCCTGGCCCTGCCAGTGCCCGCCTCTTATCCAACCTGGGTTCCTATGAGGACATAAGGCACATGAGGCATGCAGTCCTTCAGCTCCGGCACCCATTCCTCCTGGACATTGTGGTAAGAGGCAGGATTGACGACCGAGAAGCAGATCAAAAACACATCAGTGTTGGGGTAGGAGAGAGGCCTCAGCTGGTTGTAGTCCTCCTGTGGGGAAAGCAAAGAGTTTGTGCAGGAAAAGCCTGAGCGAGGTGGGTGCCCTGTGTTCAGGGAGCCACACGGGCAACCTTCCACTGTGACCCACTCCTTCCCCTGCCCCGGGGAAGCTTCCTTATATTACTAAAAATTAAAGAGCCATCAGTTAGAAAAAACCTTTGTGTTGTGTAAGGAGATTATAAATTGCTCTCTTTTAAGATACACTTTCAGAAATATAGTTTTAATAGCTTTAGTGAGGTAATTTACATACCATAAAACTCACCCATGCAATGTGTATAATTCAATAAGGATTATTGCAATTCTACTATCATGTTGAAACTGTGTTGTATTAAATATGGATTTAAATTAGTGGGCCATTGGCCAAGGCACAGGAATTCTCTCCTTATACAATTTTAAAAAATGGCATTCAAATTCAACATTATAGAAAAGCTAACTAAAATGCAAATCAAGAGTTGTTGCCAAATCAAACACCACAATAGTGGAGGAAATATATTGTGCATGGGTTTAGAGCTCAGGATTTGGGATTTGTTTCTAAGTTTACCCAAAGGCTGCTGTGTGGCCTAATAAATAAAATGTCAGCTTAATTCTTTTCTCCTGAAAGGGTTTCAGACCAGAAGATGCTCTGGCTGGAGAGTTCCTGGTTATGTAAAACCTGCTATTTCAATAGAAGATTTTATATACTTTTATAGAATTTAAAGATTAAATTCTATAAGTAACATATAAGCCAAAAGTAATTTTATATGTATGTGTGCATACTTTTGCTACATATGTGTGTATACTATACATACCTACATGTCCTCACACACCACAATGATATGTGTTTACACACACCACACACACTTTATATATGTATACACACATGCATACAAGTACACAGGTACAACCAAACATATATGTTCACACTTATCACATATGTTTGTACATAGAAGTGGAGCAACATGTGAATTCACTTTTTAGGGTCCAGACTACTGCCCCTAACATTAAAAAATTATAAAATATATGCTTACTGCAAAAATGTGAACATTCCAGGTGTACATAGAATAGAAGTGACACTTTGTTATCATTTCCTACATGATCTCTAACAGTTATTTCCTCTCTTTCCAGAGGATGCTGCTACTTAATACGATTCTTTCATGTTTCAGGTGTACAGCATGGTGGTCAATCATGTATTCTACAAAGTGGTTCCATGACATTTCAAGTGCCCACCTGGCCCCGTACACAGTTATTACAATATTATTGACTATCTTTCCAAGGCTCTACTTTACCTCCCTATGACTATTTTGTGACTATCAATTTGTACTTCTTAATTCCTCACCCTTTTCACCCAGGCTCCCAACCCCCTCCCCCTCTGGCAACCAACAGTCTGTGTCTATGAGTCTGTTTCTATCTTGTTTGTTCATTTATTTTGCTGTTTAAATTCCATGTATAAGTGAAATCATAGGATATTCATCTTTCTCTGTCTGACTTAGTTCATTTAGCACAACACCCTTTAGTTCACCATTGGTTCACCCTCTAGGTCCACCAATTTTACCATGTTGCAAATGGTAAAATTCTATTCTTTTTTGATGGCCGAGTATATATTCCATTGTATATATGTACCACAGCTTTTTATTGTCTATTGATGGGCATTTTATATTTATATAGATATTAATACACATAAAGGTTTATGAAGATAAAATGATAATATAATTTGAATTGTTTTGCCACTTTTTAAAAACTTATTGTGTCCTGGATATTTTAAAACAGCAATGTCGCCATCTTTCTATGGACCCTGTTAATGTCTCTTTAAAAGGGGGTGCACACATACAGGGTGGGGCAACAGTAGGGTCACAGTTATTTGTATAGAAAAATGATACAATAATTGATAACTAATACTTCAAGAACAGACTCTGTGTTTCACATACAACTGTAAGCCTTCTGCTGCCCCACTCCATACATGTACACGTGTGGCTGGAAGGAAGCTCCTCAGGCTGTGAGGGGTGCTCGAGGTTGGTGGGCATCCATTTATCGATGGTTTAGCTATTCCAGGTACCCAGCACACAGGACTCAGTACGCATGCCTGCTACTATTCCTGCTGCTAGTGCTATTAAAACCTAAGCAGAGGTTTTCAGCCACCTAAACAAAATGCAATGCAAGATGACAAGGATGCTGAAAAATCCTAAAATCCTAAAAATAAAATTCTTTTTAAAAAGAATTAAAAAAATGAGTTACTGTGGGTCATTTACCATATTTCTATTAAAACAAATAAGTGGAGTTAGGTTCATTGCTGAATAAGCGTTGGTCATCCTGGGTAATCACTCTTAGCCGAGCTGCGCCCATGTCTGTGTGTCTGTGTGTCTGTGTGGTGGGAAGGGGATGGTGTGTATGTTGTTACCAGCCTCCCCTCTTCACACAGTTAGCTGTGAAAATGAGGTCTTGTCTCCCACAGTCTCTGAGCCTCTCTTCTTTCTCTCTGTGAGTAGCCCTGAGCCCTGATGCTAGAACTTCCCATCACCTACAGCTGTTTATGACAACACCCGCCCTCGGCCACTTGTTCCTCCATCTGGACTGTCAAACAAGCCCCACTTGTGCTCTGCCCACAGCAAGTGTTCCGTGAGTACTGTTGACGGATGAGCTGATGCTGGGTCTTCAGTGACTCGCAGCTGAACGCAGGGCTCTTCCATGGGCCTCTTACTGCGGTAGACTCGCCTGCGGAGGCTGAGAACATCGTGACGCCCCGTGCGTTAGCCAACCGCTTGCCTTTACCCACTCTCCTACTCCGGGACCGAGCAAACCGGAATCTCTGGAGAGTGGGCTGGCATGTCTGGGCTTTCTCACTTCACTGGCCTGGAGCTGAGAACCACTGACTGACTTACATCATCATCATCATCATCTTCACCAGCAACTGAAGATTTATCAAGGGTTTATTACTAAGGGCCGGGCATTGTTTCAAGCACTTAAATGCATTATCCTGTTGAATCCTCACCACTGGAAAGATGGTGAGGATTCAACCATCAATATCCACATTTCATAGAAGAGGAAGTTAAGCTTAGCAGAGGTTTGGTGATAGACAAATGTCACAGAACTGTTAAATATCAGGATGGGGTAATTAACCTGAATCCAACTCTAGCTCTTAATTGTGACCACATTATTTTCTTCAGAATTAAAGTGGCAGGTTAACCATTTTTTTCTTTTCTTTTTTAGCACTTTCTTGAATATTCAGTTATCCAGGAATCTTCATACAGACTCATGCTTTACTCAGGGATCTACGAAATTTAGAGAGCTTGGGGTATCGTCATCTATTTCACAGCCTGCATCTGTCAGACACTGCCGCCAGATGGCAGCAGACACCGCATATTTAAAATCTCAAAGCCCAAACAGGAAACACAATAGGGGAAAAATCTCACTAGATGATACACTCGGTAGGAGCAAATAGCTGGTAGTTTGAAAGGATCATGTTTATATTTGACTGTTTCCGCAGAAGCCATCAAAGGAGTCCCTCCGGCTGAGTGACTTCTGAGTGGGTCCTTCCTTGGGCCGTCCCGCTCTGCCTTCTGACGTCTCTGCTTTGCTGTGCTATTCCACTGGAAAAGAATTACTGTACTAATTGCCTCGTCTAGCACTGTTAAGGACGTGTTGTGCATTATATAAGGAGAATAAGAATCGGGAAGCTAGTTGAGGCAAAGAAATGAAAATATGGGAAATGGTTTAATATGGGAAAGTGAGATCGGTGAAGATTTTCTTGTTCTTTGTTAGCGCTCTGATGATAGCATAATGTAGAATATTTATCTGACTGAATTGGAAAAATACGATTTCAAGGCTGGAGGAGGTCTTACAGATCAGTTAGTGCAGCGGCTGCCAAAAGTATGGCCCCCGACCCGCAGCACTGGTATCGACTGGGAGCTCCGTCCACTCCAGGGCCCGCCTGGGCCTCCCAAAGCTGAGGCTCTGGGGAGGGGACTGCACCATCTCTGTCTCAGCATGCCTTCCAGGTGACTCTGCTGCAGCTCAAGTTTCAGAACCATAGGTTACTGAGCTTCCCTTTCACCTCAGCCAATTTTATAGTTTTAAGAAACCAAAGTCTAGACAGACTAAGTGATTGCCTTGGGACTACTGAGCCAACATACCTTCAAAGAAGCCTCACACCTGGGTCGGCTGGGCTCCTTTTGCCCCCATTTACCACCGGCTGCAGCTATGAACTGTGGCAGTAGGATGAGGGTTAATAACAGGAAGCATCCCCTGGGGACTCAGAGTCGGCAGTGGGAGGTTGAGAGATGCCTGCTGATAACTTAAGTGACTCTTTGTATGTGTGTGTGTGTGATGGAGCACATTTTGAGCCTAGGTTGGAGGCTAAGAGAGGGAAAAGGGCCCTGAGCAGTGGATAAATGGCGTAGCTGGTATTTGACACGGAGTGGAAGACCAGTGCTTGAGTGCTTCTTGAAGAGACAATGTTTTCATCTAAAAGAACAGCTCAAATGGGGCATTGGGGGATTTAAGTGGACAAAGAGGCTTGGGTGAGAGTAGGGGTGGGGAAGACAGGGGAGTGGGTAAGGAGGGATTTGGGGCAAGGCAGGCTTTGAGTACTTCCCACCCAACTTCACCCCAACGGCAGGAGAGTGTTTGGTTTGAAGGCAGATCTGGTGTTCGGGGACGACTGTGGGGACTGTGAGAAAAGTTCAGGCCTTGCTTCAGCATCAAATGTACAGGGGACGCGTGAAACCGCCAGAGCAGCCCTTCTCGGACTGCGTACATCTGCATCCCCTGGGACCTTGTTAAAGTGCGGATCCTCATTCAGCAGCAGGTCTGGGATGAAGCCCAGGAGTTGGCACTTCACACAGTTTCCGGGTCGTGCAGACACTGCTGGTCCAGGGACCACACTTTGAGTGGCCAGGAGCGTTGCTCTGTGAGCTCCTACCCCCTGTCCCGCCCCTGATCTCCTATCCCCGCCACGGTTAATTGGAAATAGAATTGCTTCCAAGTCTTCTTGGGTTTAGTGACATTTATCCTGGATT